TGGGCTCCACCCCTTGGGCTGGCAGGGCGGCCAATCCGGACCTAGCCGGTAACGGCGGCGGCCAGGCGGGCGGGCTCTGCGGCGCGGGAGCTGTTGGACGCGCGGGGCTCCTTTCTTTCGCGCACTCTTCCCGGTGGCCGGAGCGGAGGGGCTCGTTCTTCGCCTCGCCGGACAGCCAGCCGTAAGTGCTTCGCCAGCAGCAGCACCAGCACCGCCACCTCAGGCGTCTTCCTTGCAGCCCGCAGTGCTTCAAAAGGAAGGGGACGGGCAAGGCAGGCGCCCCCCGGCGGCGGCAGCAGCTGCCTCCTGGCGAGGAAGGGACGCGGCAGGTGCCCGGGCGCCGATGCCAAGGACGAGCCTCGCCGCCCTGTGTCCGGAAAGGTCTCGGGGGCAGCGTCCGCCGGAGCCTCTCCCCGCGTGAGCTCCTGCCTCGTCCTCGGGTGGGAACGGGCAAGACGTCAGCATACACCAGCCCCCGGTAAGGTAGACGCGCCTCTCCAGAGGACGGCCGCCTCCCCTCTTCTTTTCTTGGTTTCCTACCAGGCTCGGAAAGAGGCTTGCACGAAAGCCGCAGCGGGACTCGGAACTCTGCCCAGCTCCCTCACTGGTGGTATCAGTTGGGGGTTCTCCTCCCCGGCCCCCCCGGCCCCGGTTTCCCTTCCTTTCCGGCAGTCCTTGGCTGCCCCCCAACTGCCCAAGACTCCTCTCGGCTTGCTTTTGCTCTGACCGGAGTGGGAAAAGGCTCCAGGGCGAGCAGCCCGTTAAGAAGTGCATTTTACCATGGGTGGCCAGGTCATAGGAGACCTAATTTTCGGCTTATCGCCACTGCAGCGCTGTGGAATCTGTTCTCTAAGCTTTCCTTTGTTTACCAGTGAGAACAACTGAAGTTTGCAATCCAAAACTAGATCCTCACCCCTTATTGCATGGAGAGAGGGAGGGTTCCTCTGTTGCCTAACCTGGTTTGTATCTTATCCCCCCCCTCCTGCACCACCAAACTGTATGAATCTGAAACTTTAGGCTGCAGCCTTTTGCTCTAGGGTTGGAGAGGGGACAGTTCTCCACATGGTCTAGACTCCCATCAGCCTCCCTCAGTGTGACAGTGACATCTGGAGATCCACAGCAGCTTCATCTTTATTATACACACTCACTTTGCCCTAATGAGCCCACTTGAATGCTGTCACTCCCTTCTGAATAAACATGGGCAGGACTGTGATGCTACACATGTTTTTTCCTTCCAGTTTGTATGTGAAACTAGCTGGTATTCTATGTTTGAATGAAACCACCATAACTTTTCCACTAGCAGTAAGATCCACTGGTACTAGAGCAGACGGTGATCAACAGTACTATGTTTTTAAAACTTGAATGATTGATTCATACTACAGCACCAATATATTTTAGCAAAGCAGTTGTGTTACTGATTTTGTTGCTGCATGATCTTTAAAATTTCCACATTTCAAATCTTATGTGGCCATCTTCTGACAACAGAATGTATAGTGAAGAAGTCTTCTGAGTGAAACAGTACAATTCTTCCATGTGGCACAGACATTGTCAGGATGGTGCAGTGGTTGGTGTTTGGCTAGGATTGGGTACATTCTAGTTTCAATCCCAGCAGACCATGAAACTCACTGGGTGATCTTGCACCTGCCACTGTCTACATCACTGGGTTATTGTGAGGACAAAGTGGAAGCAGAGCCGGGCACGCTGACTTTCTTAGAGGAAAGGCAGAATATAAACGTAACAAATATATCCTTACTTGAACTTGATTGATCTAGTTTGGATAACTGATTAAGTAGAAAATGTTATTTAATCAGTCGAAAGCTTAGTACCGAGAATATGCATTGTATTTCTCAAACATAGTTTCTCGTTGTTGTTAAGTCCCTAAGGACAAGCGCATATCTAAATAAATAATGTCACTTCTGAATTGTTACCTTTTGGCATCAGATCAGTTGAGAACGAAGCGCAAATTCTGAATCTTTACCTTTTGGCATCAGATCAGTTGAGAACAATGAAGTTGTGGGATGAAAAGGGTGCATAAGGTGATGTCTTTTGGCATTGCATAAATCTTCTCCTATAAGCTTTCTGGAAAAACTAGAAGGCAGCAGGAAAAGAGGAAGACTGGATGTGAGATGGATTGATCTTTTTTAAAAAAGAAAACTGCAGCCTTCAGTTTGTAAAACCTGAGCAAAGTTTTTAATGACAAAATCTTTTTGAGTTAATTAATTCATAGAGTCGCCATAAGTCAGAAGCAACTTGAGAGTTTTTAAAGAGTTTTTGAGTTAATTAATTCATAGAGTCTCCATGAGTCAGAAGCAACTTGATGGTACATGTTTGTTGTTTAGTCATTAAATCGTGTCCAAATCTTCGTGACCCCAAGCCCTCCTGTCTTCCACTGCCTCCCGGAGTTGGGTCAAATTCATGTTAGTAGCTTCGATGACACTGTCCAACCATCTCATCCTCTGTCGTCCCCTTTTCTTCTTGCCCTCACACATTCCCAGCATCAGGGTCTTTTCCAGGGAGTCTTCTCTTCTCATGAGATGGCCAAAGTATTGCAGCCTCAGCTTCAGGATCTGTCCTTCCAGTGAGTACTCAGGGTTGATTTCCTTCAGAATGGTGGCACATAGCAACAACATAAACTTTCTGCAGAAATTCCAGGACCTCTAGCTGTAAAAGCTGCCAAGACCATCCTAAGCTGGCACATAGCAGCAACATAAACTTTCTGCATAAACTTTCTGCTGTAAAAGCTGCCAAGACCATCCTAAGCCTTGCAGGAATGTGTAGATCAACACTAATTACTATAACCATAATTAAATGTTGTGTAGAATTTTAGATTAAACAAGGTTTCAATATGCAGAAGGATGGGTTTTCCATTAAAAAGTGTTACTAGATGGATCAACTGCTCTTATCAGCCATTTCTGAATATCTTCAATAAAACATTATACTGTACCATCCCCTAATTATAGCCTTCAGTTTTCCGGTAAATTGCCATAAATCACCTGATAATTCTAGTGTAACTGGAACAACTGGCTGGGGTAGTAAAGTGAGTGGACTCTCCTTTGTTAAACTTTGAATGGAAAATGCAGGAGTAGCTGCTTTAGTTGTAAAATAAATTCCAGAATACATTTGGTGGTAATAAATTAATTAGGCCAACTAAAGGCACAACATTCTTTGTGCAAGTTGAGAGAGCAAGTCTCTCAAAGTATGATGTTACACCAAGGCTTATCATTGGGCCTTCCTTGGGTTCCCATACCTGTAGCATGGGTGCCTGTAGAAAAGGGCTGTTATGTTGAAAGATTGCAGAGTTTTCCAGTTTCTTTTCAGTTGGCTTGGCAAATAAACAAGGTCTTCAGTGTTTATTACATTTCCGTACTTTGTTGTTGTTGTTTAGTTAAGTCATGTTCGAATCTTCGTGACCCCATGGACCAGAGCACACCAGGCCCTCCTGTCTTCCACTGTCTCCCGGAGTTGGGTCAAATTCCTGTTGATAGCTTCGATGACGCTGTCCAACCATCTCATCCTCTGTCGTCCCCTCCTCCTCTTGCCCTCACACTTTCCCAACATCAGGGTCTTTTCCAGGGAGTCTTCTCTTCTCATGAGATGGCCAAAGTATTGGAGCCTCAGCTTTGGGATCTGTCCTTCCAGTGAGCACTCAGGGTTGATTTCCTTCAGAATGGATAGGTTTGTTCTCTTTGCAGTCCAGGGGACTCTCAAGAGTCTCCTCCAGCACCACAATTCAAAAGCATCAATTCTTTGGTGCTCAGCTTTCTTTATGGGCCAGCTCTCACTTCCATACATGACTACTGGAAAAACCATAGCTTTGACTATGTGGACCTTTGTTGGCAAGGTGAGGTCTCTACTTTTTAAGATGCTGTCTAGGTTTGTCATCGCTTTCCTCCCATTTCTGTACTTAATATGGCCTAAATTGTGTATGTAGTTTTGATGTAGGAACTGCATCTCCCTCTGTGAACCTGCCTGGGCAATGAGATAAAGAGGGAAGGCTTTTCTCTCAGTCCCACCACACTCGCACGTGTGTTTGGTTGTGGGGACACAGGAGAAGGGCTTCTGTGTCACTCCTCCCAGACTCTGGAAGCCTCTCCCAAAGGAGACCAAGCTGGCTCCATAATTGCTGTCTTTCTGCAAGCAGACAAAAGACCTTGTTTTTCAGGCAGACTTTCCATTAATAACTGGTCTGAGAGGGGCTATTAAATGGGTTGTAGTGCCTTACTGCTTTTAAATGTGTTTTAGTATTGATTTTATTTATTATCTTTAATTTAATACTTGTTTAACTCTTTTTTAATTTTTGTGTACCTATTTTTAAGATGCTGTCTAGGTTTGTCATCGCTTTCCTCCCATTTCTGTACTTAATATGGCCTAAATCTGTAGCTTTGATGTAGGAACCGCATCTCCCTCTGTGAACCTGCCCGGGCAATGAGATACAGTAATGAGGGGAGGCTTTTCTCTCAGGCCCACCACACTCGCACGTGTGTTTGGTTGGGGACATCGGAGAGAGCCTTCTCTGTCGCAGCTCCCAGACTCTGGATCTCCTTCCAATGGGAAGGTAGCCTGGCCCCATCATTCCTGTCCTTCTGCAGGAAGGTAAAGACCTTTCTTTTCAGGCAAGCTTTTCCTTAATGACTGGTGGTCTGAGAGGGGTTTTAAATGGACTTTGTTGTTTTAAATGTGTTTTAATATTGATCTTAATTACCATTTTAATATAGTACTTGTTTAATTATTTTTTTTTAAAAAATGTATACTTACTGTTTTAGCTTTTAAATACTGTTTTAGTGATGTAAGCCACCTTGGGCCCTTTTGGGGAGAAAGGCAGCATAGAAATATTTTAAATAAATAAATAGTCAACGGAAAAAGTTATTGAAATTCTGCATGGTACAAAGAAGAAAAAGTGATTATGAGAGTTAGCCTAGATGTTACACAAATCTTTGCATGAAGGCTTTGGGTGTTTTCTGCTTCTGGGGATTTGGTACATTGTCCAAAATGGCCGCGCACAGCGTTTTCGCGCCCTCGTTAAGCGAGGCGAGGGCGCGAAAATGGCTGCCGGCCATTAAGAAGCATCGCTGAACGGTGAGTATTCAGCCCATTTGGAACGCATTAAACCATGTTTCATGCGTTCCAATGGAATTCCGTGCCCCGTTCAACGATGCTTCAGCATAGCGAAGGTTAATCCGGAACGGATTATGCAAGGCACCACTGTACTGTTTTAGTGATGTAAGCCACCTTGGGCCCTTTTGGGGAGAAAGGCAGCATAGAAATATTTTAAATAAATAAATAGTCAAAGGAAAAAGTTATTGAAATTCTGCATGGTACAAAGAAGAAAAAGTGATTATGAGAGTTAGCCTAGATGTTACACAAATCTTTGCATGAAGGCTTTGGGTGTTTTCTGCTTCTGGGGATTTGGTACAGTATTGAACTATATGCAGTCTAAATGGTTGCAAAGAACCTGTTCCATGATATGCTCCCAACACAGCCGTTTTGAATCGAGGTGCCACATCAAGTGTGTATGAGAACTTTTAATAAAAATATTGCCATTTATATTCTCTGTGCAGCTGTTTCCTCTGGAATATTTGAAAATAGTAAATAGTTTCTAGGGTGAACTGTGTTTACAGCTTTCAAATTGAACTTGTGATTGGCATGTGTGTGCGAGTTGCCCCAAGGTATGTTTGGATCTTCTGTTTGTAGGAACTACAGGTAAATTAGAGATGTTAAAGTGACTGATTAATAGACTGATCACTGTTATTTATTTGGATAGAAAATTCAGGGGACTTTGAAGTTAATATGAATAAAATGATTCTTTTTTTTAAATTGAGGATAGCTAAAAGTCATCAGGTAGACTAATTGGAACAGAGTTATATTGAACTTAATTGTTAGTCTTCAAGGTGGTAGTTTCCCTTTTCAGTGCTGGATATCTTCAAACTTGGATCTGCTGACTTTGACCCTATTAAAAGTATATGCATTAAATGTGTATTTCTGTAGAAGTGAACTCCGAGTAATGTATAAAAATGAAAACAATATCAAAATGCAATGCATTAAAAATAGCATGCAATCCTACTGGGCCAGGAGTTCTAAAGAGTAGCCTAATGCTTGTGTTGCTTTGGTGTGGGAGCCATGGTAGCAGTACTACTTTTACGTATTTATCACTAAATACTAAAGTGATAAATCATGTCAAAGAAGGTTTTCACATCAGCATCTGCTCTCACCAGTATCGATTCTTGAAGAACAGGATTGACATTGACATAGGAGGTGCTGCCATGTGGGATCTTCCTCCTGGTGATCTCAAAGGACACGTGGCAGAAGCTGCCCCAAACCATGCAGAATACCTGCTTCCCCAGCATTGCACATTCATTAAGCACTGCAACCTTGCTGTGTTTTCATTGATTATAATGATAGCCCTTGTATTAAAATACAGTTGAAAAAAATACAAGAAAAACAAGAAAGGAAATCTGTGTTATTTGCATTGATGCTTGAGAGGAAAACTGGAATATTTACATATCCCTTTTGTATTTCTGTAGATTGTCCACCGGGTTGACTGATACTGTACATGTAAGACATTGAAATTTATTTTTTTCCTTTGAATTTCCTTCTGTGCCTTTTGAATGCCTTAATTCATTCAGAGCACTTGATAGTTTCCTTGGGATGCCATTAGCACTTCCCATTTTATTAAGAATTGGGACACTGAAAACAGGTTCTGTGGTCTGGAGTGTGAAAGACAAACTGAGCTTTTGTAGTCCGGGTGGTGTGTTGTGCAGCAGCGTAACCTTTTGCCTACTTTTCTGAGTCTGTCATGTGATCTTTTCCCTTGCGGTGGAGGAAGGGCAGGAAGGGCGGGGTTTCAAGAACTACACAGCTTTTCCAGAGTGTCTTTGAAATGACATATCTCATGACTCCATAAAACAAAATCACAAGATGAGGTGTGTGGCAGGATCTAAGGGCTGAAACAAACAAACAAACAACAAAAAGATGTAAAAAGTAATTATTTCTGGAAGCTGGTGTCGGTTAAACATGTTTTCCTGGCTTATTCCAGATGGAAATAGGATTCGTCTTCCAGCTGAAAGTATTGCTTCTGGAAGTATTGCTTCTGGAAACTATGAAGCTGCGCAAAAGCAGTAAATCCCTGTGTTCAAATTGCCAGCTGCAAGGCTTTGGAGCTGTAATTGTGGGTGTTTGTTATTTTTCTAGTCTAGAGTAGCCTCTCCTGACAGATAAGCCCAATAGTTTTAGAGTCTTTCTGTCCCTTGTTATATATGTTTTTCTCAATTAGTCAGTAAGTTCTTAGCTATTAGAAACACATGCTTTTATAGATGTCTAGAAAAACTCACAGACTGCAGCATAGCATTCCTACTGAGTACAGTGATGCAAGGCACGTTTTAATGAAGTATGGCAGATTAAATACAGTTGTGACACTTCCTGTTTTGCAAGGGAAGTGCTAAAGTAAAGTATGTAAACTAACAAGAAAATGAGCCAAGCAGTCAACATGATGTTGTGCACCTTGCTACCAAATCTTTTATTTCTTCTGCTACATGCTTTTTTTGCATACCTTGGTTGTAAGAAATGACTTACGAAAACTGACCTCTTAATAATTATTTGCATACACATCATATGTAGGAGCCCGAGTTTTGTATTTACAGAAGGAAATCTGCTTTGAAATGTAATTTCTATAACTACCTTCTAATTTTGTTTTTGTAGTATATAGTGTGAGCTCAGGTGCCCTGTTTCTGTTGCACAGGGAAAGGGGCAATGATACTATCCTGGAAAATTATTAACCACTTTGGTGAGTAAACTATATTGATGCCATTCATAATATCAGACCATGTGTTCATTTTTATCAATAGCCAGTTCAGACCTTAGCAAATTGTTTCCTGCATCTACATAGCTGGTTCAAACTGCTTAAGCAATGTATGCAGTGATGAGACCAGGCCCCATATTCCCATGTAGTCCTGGTGTTGGGCGTAATCACACCCTTTTTATGGGGTTTTGCTGTTGCCTACGTGACATGGACCAGTAAGTGCTACCCTGATCCGTTTGCTGCTCCATAAACTGGCATTTGCTTTTTCTCAGGAACACCCAGTAAATGGAGAACTTTTAGATCATTCTCTCCAAGTACCGCTGTTAGTACTGATCACAGTTCTTAGCAGGATTTGTAATTAGACCCTATGAGAAACCCAGTTCTATTTGAGACACAAGGTATATAGCATCGAAAAGTAATGAAAGACTATGTGAAGCTGAAGTAAGGAGGTGTCAACTGATTTTGCTGTGGAAAGCTTTTCTCTTTTCTTTTTGGCAAAGTCTCAGGTAGGACAGGTCTTTCCAAATCGGTATGTGATATGAAAGTGGCAAGGAGAGTTTGTCACCAGTAGTCCAAGGAATCCTTGGGTGTGCGGCTGGGATGGTGCTGCAGATTAGAGTTTAATGAGAAGCTGCTGTTTCTTGTAGGTATTAGCAAATAAAACTATACCGGCCTAGGCTTGTCAGTACTGAAGCTTGCAGTAAAAGATAGCTGCAAATTAACCACTTAAATGGTAAACTTGGAAGTGGTAAACTTAGAAATGTTTTAGCATTTCATATTTATTGCAGATTCGGGTAAACATGGGGTACTTTGATGGATGTACTGAGTCTTGCTTGCCTAATTTAGAATGGTTGAAAGACTTGCCCAGTATCCAGTACCACTCTCATTTGTTGATTTGTTTTCTTTTTTAATTTTAATTGCCTTTTTTTTGCTTTTCAAATTTATTTTTGCCACCCAGTGTTTCTATTTTCTGATGATAAGGGCTAGGTCCTCAGGCATATGCTGTGCTGGGATCCTGTTCTGTTCCGGAAAAACAACACCAGGACCCACTGTGTTCTCTGTTTTGCTCAGGCCTCACTAATGAAGATGATGTTCCCCATTCTTATTTCCTCCCTGTTTTGCTATAATTTAGACATCTGGCTGCTTCCTGGCTGTTTTTCATTCCATTTCCTCTTTAGCAATCTTGTGAATTAGACCCCTGTGCCTTAGAAAATTCTTAAACATATCCATCCTCTTTTGATTCTGTATACTTATTTTTATTTTCCTTTTATCCAAATTGCTTTACACCACATTTTGTTCAGTGCTATGGTTTTAATGGGTAAGACACAGGTGCAAAGACAACTTTGGCAAAATTCATGAGGATTGCCTACTGGGATTTTGATTTTGGGTTGACCTTATTTCCACTCCCTTTTCTTTTAAACAGAAGATATTCTAAGTGTTTCCAGCCCTCAGTCATTCATTATTGCTTGAATGCACTACGTATCTTTATATAAAGATACAGACACAATAGAAATATTGGTAACACAGTGTTATTAAACAAAATATGCCATTTTGCTTTTAAATGTTGTCATCATTTTTAAAATATTGTAAATTCGTATACATTTCTTTTCCTTACTATGCATGGAATTAAAAGGAGTTTGCATTCAGAAAATTGTGAAGTGTTCTATTTTGTTGTGGTGTAGAATATGCTGTCCAAGAGCACCATTAAAATTTGCAGCTGTAATCAAAATCTGAAAAATAAGGATGTCCTTGTGGTGCATTTTATACCAGCTGCTTAATGCTTTCTGTATCATGTTTTCATTACATAAATGCATTATGATGCTGTTCCTCTAATTTGAGCCACCTTGGCCCACTGCTGGCAGACATTTCCTCCAGACACTCCCTCCAGGTCTCCTAGCTCAAGGTCATTTTGACAGCTGGATGTTTAAATCCACAGAGAGAAAGTAGTTCTCAGATAATAATAAAATAATCATGTGCCATCAAGTCAATTCTGACCTTTGAAAACCCCTTTCAGGGTTTTCCAGGTAGAGAATACTCAGAAATGATTTACTATTCCCTTCTGGGAATATCCTGGGGCTGGGCTACTTGCCCAAGGCCACACGAGCTGGCTCTGCTCACAGGAGGCAGAGAAGGGAAACAAACTCCTTGCCTCTGGCTCCAGTCTGATACCTAGGCTACTCAACTATCCAGCCAACTACAGTGGTGCCTCGCATAATGGGCGCCCCATTTAACGACGAATCCGCATAGCGATGATGTTTTTGCGATCACATAACGATGTTTCCTATGGGGGAAATCGCTTTGCGATGATCGGTAAGCTGTTTTGCTTACCGATTTTCGCATAGCGATGTTTTTTCCCCAGCTGATCGGCGGTTCCAAAATGGCCACTGGGTAAAACAGGGACGGATTCCTTGCTTACTGGGCAGCTAAAATGGCCGCCGTATTGCGGATTTTCGCTTAAAAGGTAAGTTTTAAGCCCATAGGAACGCATTGAAGGGGTTTCAATGCATTCCTATGGGCTTTTTAATTTCGCATAGCGATGATTTTTGCTGCGTGGATTATCGTCGCTATGCGGGGCACCACTGTATAGTGAAATGAATTAACACAAAACAAGCTTCATACTTTGATCTGATAGAGTGCCACATTTACTAAATATGAAAATGTGAGATTTTATGCTGTGCTAAAGTGAACCATTTCATTCAGAAGAGTGATCTATTCACCGTACAGCATATTGATCAGGGACATGCTGAGTTAACTCTTACTTCTTGGTAGCAGAAATGACATCATAGTAATTACATGCATTATCAGAGACTGGATATTTTGATACTAGTCTGTTCTTTTTTCTTAATTGCTAGTGTGTGTTTTTTTATTGCAGATTGCATGTTGTGCTGTGTTATAATACTCTAAACATCATGTTTCATTTATATTTTGATACACACTAATAGAATTGTATTTGATTCTGCAGCAGAGGTTGAACTGATTTCCTGTGTGAGACAATGGAATATTTGAATTTTTCCTCCTGAGAACAGTGTATTCTGACATAAGGGTAAGACAGGGAACAACGGCTTATTGAGTACAAGAAATTTGCTGTTCCATGCTATCTGATTACTCCTGTTTAACCACTCCTGTCCCAAGTGGAAACAATCAGATAGTATGGATCATCACGTTGCTTGCACTCAATAAGCCGGGTTTCCGCAGTTTTCAGAAGCACTGCAGTGTTTGAATACAGCCACATGTTTGTTTAATATATTGGCATTGAGTACTCAGGAAAATATCCAAAAATATTTCTTCCTAAAAGAACTTGCAGAAAGCTGTACTGAGCTTTTTTAAAAGTATAAATATTTCATCCACATCCTTTTTAAACCATCCTCCTGCTTCTTTATGCAAATCCTTTGCCAAAGTATATGTCAGCAACCGAAACAAGTGTTTCCTCTTCGAGTAATTTCACATAGCTTCTGCATTCCTCGCAAATAGGCAATCTGCATTTCTAAATTGAGACGCATGCTCTGTAACTCCGTGCCCTTTTGCCTACTTTTCTGGACAAACACGTGACTACTTCAGAAATGTGGAGGCGGAGAAAGGCTCTGCAGCAGCTATGAAAACCTCTTCTGCAAGCAAAAGAGTCGTCTTAGAAGTACTGCAGCATATTTGTTAGTGTGAAGGTTCTTACTGTATGCGCTTCGCCTTTTAAACCAATTGTCTGATTCTAGTATAGCAAAGCATTTCACTAGTTCTGCTTGCTACATTAAAGCTCTTATTTTCAGAAACACATATTGGGGAATATGTCAGTATTAATATACCTTCATAATTAAGGAACTGAATTTAAGTTATAGGCATGTTTTAATTGTTCAGTTATAAAAATATTTATACTCTTGCTCATCTTCCAGTAGCTTCCCTACTCCAAATCTCCCTGCTGTGCAGAATTTACATTGCTGTAGTTCCGGACCTCTTTCAGTTATCAGCATTGTCTATTCCAGTCTTTCAAGATTGGCGCACGCAGGCACGTGCACGTGTGCACTCTCTCTCTCTCTCTCTCTCTCTCTCTCTCTTAAGAAGTTGAATATTTGTCCTAAATTAGTTTTTTTTTTATTTTTAAAGCACAATTATTAAATATCAAATGTGGAGAACCCTATCTAGAATTGGAAAGGAGAAAGGGGACTGTGAAACTTTTATTTTGCTATTTCTTCCCTTTGTTGGGAGAGGCTTTCCTTATCTGATTAATTTGTTAAAATGTTATTTGGTTACTGTGTACTTATTCTGTTAAAAGCTGTATATTTTGATGGGAATTTTTGCGACTGTTTTGTTTGGTGGTGGTTATTGTTAGTTCTACTGTTATATACTTTTAGGTTTTGGGTTGATTCTCTGTTGCTTCCCTGATGCTAAAAGGTCATCATAAGCAATGTGCCACAACCAGAAAGTACTTCTGTTGTCATTTGCCTCTTCTAAGGCGAGAAGGCAGCTGGTGGACTCTTAAAAAGATGATCTGGACTCATGAGTTGGTGTTGGACTGAGTGTTATTTAGGGGGAGGTTTTGATTCTTTGTTCAGGTATGAAATGGATCAGTTTCAGGGGTAGCTTGAAGACATTTGTCTTGAGATTTATTTAAAAACAACAACAGAGAGCTATCTGTGGAACAAAATAAGCTTCCCAAACTTTAGATTAAATTTTGTCTCTCCTTTTCTCATCTGCTTGCATTGCATGTGATGATTTCACATGGGAGTGAGTTTTTCAGGCTGAGGCAGGCTCCTGTAGCCAGCCAGTCCTTCAGATATCATAGTATGGTGTAGGACTTTCAAGGTGAGCACCAGCATTTTGACAGATACCTGGAAATAGACCAGGAATCACAGAAGCTGTTTAAGCACTGGCAATGTGCTGCTTTTGTTCAGTAGTGTAGGGAGCTCAAAGTCCCGTGGAGGAGCTCTGTTCACAGTGATTTTACCTTCTCCAAGAACTGGGCAATATTGTCATGGGAAGCAGTTGCGTTGCCTACTCCCCTCTCATAATCTTGGGATTCCTGTATTATCATAATAATGCAGTTGCTTCAGAGCACAGTATTCTTGTCACCAGTTGCTGTTGTTTAATAGTATCCTGTTGTAAATGTTCCTTTGGGGGGGAAAACATTGCTCTTCATGGTTGATGTGACATATTTACAATGCAGTTTGGAATACTATGGAAGTGAGTGGTTCAACTGCAACATTTGACACCTGCAAAAACAAATACAGTGGATGTTTGTGCAGTATCCATTATGTGCCTGTTTATAGTTAATGTATTACACTAAGTTAGTGGCTTTCACTTATATTTTTAAAAATTGTTTTGTTTGACAGATATAGCCTAACGATGGCAGAAGCACATCAAGCCGTTGCATTTCAATTTACTGTAACCCCAGATGGAATTGATCTGCGCATGAGCCATGAAGCTCTCAGGCAGATCTATCTGTCTGGTCTCTACTCTTGGAAGAAGAAATTCATCAGGTTCAAAGTAAGTCATCCTGCAGGCTTCAGTCTGTACTTGGTGCACAGCTATGTATATACAATGCAGCAAATGAGAGATTCTGAAAAACCTTTACAGTGTAGAACTATTGGTGGTGGTGCATAACTGTTTTCCCACAATCTTCTGCCTTTTCAGGAAAGACTAGAGTCACCATGAAACAGTTTCTCCAGGTCCCATCCTAGACAAGGTCCAGAAGAATACTATAGCCAGTGCTAGCAGAAGCAGCCAAAAAGTCCAGCAGAAGCAACAGGGGTACATCCTCCATGTTTGGTTCTAGGCACAAATTATCCTCCAGCTTGACTAAAGCTGTCCAGTTTGACTAACTTGACTACGAGACTAGCTCTCGTAGCTATAAAGCTACAAACATTCTGAACTTTGATTCAATTTCCTAGTGAGACAGGAAGCTTTACTGATAACTTCAGATGAATTTGTCTTGGCCAGGTCTTTCTTACTGAGTAGCTGAGGTGATGAAGGAGGCAGAACATTGTGTATGTCATTTTGAGCACCCTGGGGAAAAGTTGAGATTCTAAACAAAACCATAGAGGTGGGGGATGTTATTTTTATATGTTCCATACTCCTTCTAAACGTCTAATACAGATGCAGCATCTGACTTCTTCTGCCTTTCGCAGCACCCTAGTTATGCTTTCGATCTCAAACTTTGAACTGTTTCAGTATGCTACCCCCACTTTCTTCCTGTCTGCACCATCTGCAAATTGTTTTTCAAGTGCTTCTGTGGTCTGAAGACTCTGAGAAAGACCTTTATTAGACAGTGAAGGTGCTTTACGTGTTAATTTTTTAGCTTTATTAACAAGGGCTTTAGCAGAGAGAAATGAAGAGGGTTTGGAACACAGCTCCCCATGGTTAGACTGACTGACTGACTGATTGATTTTTTTATGCTGCCTTTTCCCACTGAAAGGACAAACAAGGTGGCTCAAAAACTATTTAAAAACTGACTAAGACCATAATAAATTATTGCATTAAAGTGAAATTAAAGAACAAGCACTATTGCATTCCCAGCAGACATGCTTGTGAAAGTAGTGAGACTGAGTGAACGGCCTTCTCTGAAGAGCTGAGAAAGCTCATATGGGAAGGTATGGTATTTCAAATAGCCTAAGTTGTATTGGATGTTATAGGTCACTCATAACCAGCACTTTGAATTGGGCCTGGAAGTGGGTTGACAGCCAATTAAGCTGTTGTAATGGAGAAGTGATATGTTGCTTATAGCTGGCCCTGGTCAGTAACCTGGCTGCAGCATTTTGAATCTGCTGAAGTTTCTGCCCCATTTGCCAAGACCATCTGTTACAGTAATCCAACTGCAGTATAACTAAGACACGTTTCACCAGGGCTAAATCTTACACCTCCAGGAATGAGTGCAGCTGGCAAATTTACTCATGGCCACTGTGAAAACCTGAGCGTTCAGGCTCAGGAATGAGTTTAGGCATACACCCAAACCATGAGCCTAAATTGTCGGGGGGAGTGTAATTCCATCCAGTACAGGCTGAATCCCTACACCCTGATCTGTCTTTTGACTGATCTAGAGCGTATCTGTCTTGTTTGGATTCAGTTTCAATCTGGTTGCCCTTATCCAGTCCATTACTGATGCCAGACATTGGTTTAAAATAGGAACAGAGTTGGCTGTCATCTGCATACTGGTGACAATGAATGCCAAAACTCTGGGCAACCTCTCCCAGAGGTTTCATGTTTGGCATGAGGGACAGAACCCTGAGGGACACTGCCACCGATGGCCAAGATTGCAAACAAGAGATCCCCATCACCACCCTCTGAGATCACTCCTCCATGAAGGATCGGAGCCATTGTAAAACAGTGCCTCCAAATCCTGGCCTAGAGAAACAACCTGGAAGGAGCCCTTGATCAATGGTGTTCAAAGCTGCAGAGAGGTCCAGCAGAACCCACAAAGACATATTTCCCTTGTCCATTTCCTGGTGTAGGTTGTCCACCAAGGTGACCAAAACTGTCTCCATTGCATGATAAGGCCTGAAGATGGTTTGAAATGGATCCTTGGATGATCTGCCTCATCAGGAACACCTGGAACTGAGAAGTCACCACATACTCCAACACTCTGCACAAAAATGCAACAAAAGAGATTGGGCAATAATTGTTCAAGATAGTGGGATTCAAGGAGAGCCTTTTCAACAGCAATCTCGCTATTGCCTCCTTTGGCATGCTGGAACCCTTCCTTGCTACAGGGAGGCATACAAGACTCCTTTTACTCATTTGCCCAGTCCCCCTTGGGCTCCTTTTATGAGAGGCAAGAATGAAGCATGCATGTGGTGGCTTCCATCTCTCCAAGGATCCTCTCCACATCCTTGAGTTGATTAAATTATGAAGGTGCACCTACAGCAGTTTCTTTACCCTTTTTCCTTGTTAAAGCATGCCTGTGAATGGCAGGAGACAGTCCACATGAGAAATATCTGATGGTTCATTATAATTATGAGCACATGTACTGTAATGATCTGGTGGCCTAGGTTTACATTGTAATAGGCTTCCAGCTCTCCAAATAAGCTTCTGTAACTGTGGGGAATCACCAGATTTTCAGCAGTACAGCATTAGCCTTTAGGCACTAGGTTTAAATAATTTGTTTGTTTGATATCTGCGTTATTTTCTAAAATAAACAAAAATTCCTGTATTAAAAAATCCCATGTTCAAAGGAGTGTTTGTGTGAGCAGAATCAAATGTGTTTTGCCACCTAAACTGTAAGAGCCAGAAAGCAGTAAGTAAAATAAAAGGTGAGGTATTTCCTGACCTCAGTGGGGATCTCAGTGTGTTGCTGAAAAGAAAAACGCTCCATGTGCAAAAGAATGCTTGTATAAAATCAAATACATTATACCCAGACACCCAGAATCAGAAAACACAAGGTGAAATAAAAGTGGAAGAAAATAACATGTATATTTTTCATATTGTACACGTTTTCCTGGATCCAGTGAATTCCAGTGTGTCCCTACCCCAGAGAAAGCCATTTACAGTTTTCCCAAATGGGGCCACCTACATTTCTGCTTTGCTTTATTGTAGGTTGCCAAAAATGGCATGGATATTCTTTGTCCTAATATACAGGATGGAGAAGCATCTAGTTGCAGAAATCATATTTATTGGGATAGCGTTTCTTCCATATAATTTTTGTTTGTAAGAAACAAACCCTTATAAAAGGGGGGGGGACAATGTTTTCAACTTGCAGTGGATAGTGTCACAGAATACGAGTATTGTAGGTCTTTTTGGCATGTGCCTTTGTAAAAGAACTTTAGTCAGCCAGGACCAATGTAACTCCTTCTAGTGTATGAGGATTCCGCCTCCAATGTGTGTAAGGAGCACTTCTGATCATTCACAAAATGTACTTCTAATTATATGTAATGATAATCTGTAAAGACAGCTGGTGTATTATGTTAGTCTGCAAGTGTGTGATACTTCTTTCTGTGTGCTGAGATTGTTCCTAACACACGTTTTCTGAAAGTATGAAATAGAGGCTTCAGAACCTAGGAAAATGATGATGGAATTCTTGTCTTTCCAGAATGGCATCATCACGGGTGTCTATCCTGCTAGTCCGTCCAGCTGGCTTATTGTAGTAGTAGGAGTTATGTCAACCATGTATGCTAAAATAGATCCTTCCATGGGATTGATAGGAAAAATCAACCGGACCCTTGATACAACGTAAGTAAACACTGATAATTTATATTTTAAAAATATTCATTATTCTAATAATTATATAATCTGGTTGGTAACACATAATTCTCATATTTTTCCAGTAAGTGTTAATGATGGTTAGAATATTCAGAAGAGGTAGCCATGTTAATCTATGCTAGTATATCAGGCAAAAACTAAAATAAAAAATAAAGAAGATAAAAATATTGTGGCAACTTGGAGACTAACTGCTATATTTTGATGTGAGCTTTCATAGACAAGTCCACTTCTTCAGACATGGTTGGAATGTTACCTTTTGCAGATACTGGCTCAAAAGAGAATGAGTTGTTAATAATGATAATAATTGGGAAAAGAAAAACTGAGTGAAATGTCACTTGTTCATGTTGCATCCCATAATGTCTCCACCCCACCTGCGCCTCCATTTAATTTGCCTCCTGCTCCCTTGCAAGTGATGTTGAAGGAGAAGGAAGGTGTGTGCACACACATATACATATATGCTATGTGAAATACTTGGGTACAGTAGCAAACTCTCTGGAACTTTAAGAAATGTAATGTTTAATATTTATAACATATCAGGGGTGGGGGAATGGAGATTTTCAGTTGTGGAAAGCTGCACATCTCCTCTACTCTGATTGAAATCTGTACTAGAGAGTAATTTAGGCTGGATGGACATTGAGTTTGTTCACACTTCTCTCTTTTTGTTGATAATGAGTACTTTGAACCATGCTGTAAAAAAAAAAAAACCAGACAGTTTTGTTCTAACCTTTATGGGAAGAAGAACAGGGAGAAAAGTATTTCTTGACTCCAGCAAAATTTCCTTTAGGGACTTCCCCACATTATCATAGAATAGTGAATTTGGAAGGGGCCTGTAAGGCCATCGAGTCCAGCGTCCTGCTTGATGCAGGGATACAAATCAAAGGATATCTGCCAGGTGGCTGTATAAGTTTCTCTTGAAGAAAGATGCTTTTTAAATGAGTACCACTTTACAGCATTTAATTAATACATAGTGAGTCTAAAGATGCAAGTGGTTGTAGAAAACATAGACAATACCAAACATTTTTTAAACTGCATAGACATTGCAGACTATCATTCAGGACCATTTGTCTGCTTTTGTAAAGTTTTACAAAATTTAGGAGAACACTAAGAATTTATATTTCAAAAAATATTCATTCTAATAATTATATAATCTGGGTGTTAACACATAATTTAGGTGTCTCTTTACCTTATCTGATTGATTGGTGTCCTTTCAGACTGTTGTTACTGTGCATTTGTTTTGGTCTTTTAAGATTTATATTGTTGATTTGGTCTATTCACTGCTTTGAGTTCTCTGTCAGAGGAATAGATGAAATATAAGCTTTCAGAATATTGGTTCGTAAATTGGAATGTGCAGAGAAATTCCAAGTGCAAAGAGAGACTCTGAGATACAGGCTATGGGGTATACGGCAAAGGCTCAGTTCCTGCCCCCCTCTTTTATAATGAAATTAAAATGGAAAACGGTTGGCATAGTGTTTCCCTTCCTCATCTTCTGGTAACCATTTAAGCTGTTCCTTTGTGTTCACAGCCCCATACCAGTTTGCCCACTAATTATGAAGTGGTGGACTTGAAGGGCCATTTCAACTCAGCCCTGTGTGTGTGTGTGTGTGTGTGTTGTGTGTGTGTGTGTGTGTGTGTGAGAGAGAGAGAGAGAGAGAGAGAGAGAGTTCAGAATGACACTTTTATGTTAATAATTGTTTTGTATTTTTCTCAACATTCGTTGATATGCTTTCTTGTCTCTCTCTCTCTCATCATAGTGGCTATATGTCCAACCGAACACAGAGTATTGTCAGTGGTGTTCTTTTTGGCACAGGACTCTGGGTAATCCTTATTTTCTCAATGCGCTACACACTAAAGATGCTGCTTTCCTACCATGGATGGATGTTTGCTGAACATGGCAAAATGTCCACAGGTACCAGGATATGGATGGTAAGATTTAATTACCATATTTTGAAATTGAAATAGCCCTTGTCTGGCAATATTTGTTGTGGTACCTTTGTTGTTCCAGGGGTTGATTTCCCCCCCCACTTGCTTTTTCTTCCTTTCTTTTAGTATTTAGTGGAAACATAGATATGTCCTTTTTTTAAAAAACATTTCGGGGTACAGAGCGTTAGGGAGATCCTTCCCCCTCCCCGGGTTCAGAGGTAAAACTATTCAGACGAGGCCTCTAGGAAGTAGAAATTGACCAATTTTTGTTTAAAAACATTAAAACTTTCTGGGGCTCTTGGGTGTGTGCTGCAAAAATGTCTCTGGAGGGCTCACGTGGCCTGTGGGTCATATGTTGTCCACCTATTCCAAATACTGAAACACAAGCTGTCATTAAGATTAAAAGGATTAGTAACTCAGTCCAGAAAAAAGAAAGCTGAAGAAGGAAGCATTTTCATTTCGTTTTTGATGGAAGAGGCAGTTATGAGAAGAGTATTCCTTCTTGTTAAAAAGATATGGTTACTTAAAATCTCACTTTGTTTCTGAGCTTATTGTAAATTGCCCCAGAGAGGTATTAGCTGCAGTAGCTTTTCAAACCTTGACTATGCTGTGTTCAGGATTCTAGGACTGTAGTCTGACATATCTGATGAGCACCAGGTTATGAAAAGCTTCAGACTGACTAGCAAGACTTAATAAACCAGTGCCTTATCTACAGTATGTTTATTGCATATATTGGTTGACTATCAAAGGAAGTTAGCTAGAATATAATAACTAGTATGTTCAATATACTTCTCTGGGAAATAGGTACAGTTGCAAATGAAATCGCTGGTAGTTTTCTTCCAATATGATTCCAAGAGCTTTCTTATATGGAAAAAAGGCTCCGTTCCAAGAGTAAGGTACGGAGCATCATGTCAACATGGCTTAGCATTTTCTTTGGCTGGATTTTGGCATGTCCTGTAAATTCAACACATTTGAGCCTCTCTCTTTCTCTTTAATAATGCCAAGCTTGAATGGTGTGACCAGCTATGACTAATATGTTTTGCTCCTAGATATTGCCATTTATCATTGTTACTGAAATGGTGAGCATGTTGAGAAGGACAACTAATGCTGCTTCTCTTTGACGGAAATGAAATTCACAAAAATTTGAGATTTGGCCTAACTGGCTTATTTTCTAGGTTGTGTCACTAAACAAGGTTGAACTTTTTCTAAGCCTCCTTTTTTTCATAATTTTTGGATTTTGTTTTTCTAACATGTCTGAGTTTTCTTGGTTAAAGAGCCTTAAGATACTCTTTTGACATTGTTAATCACCATTCATGGTATAAGAATGAGTGTGTTCTACAAAGGTTCACAAAACTGAATATAATCCTTTCTGTGATGTAGAAGGGAACCCCGACTTACCAGGGTACCCGTATTGTGGCCAGAGTGGCAGCCAGGTCCTGCAGCGGTCCTCAAAGGCTTCAAGATGACCGCACCCTGTGGCTGCACTGCAGGGAACCCTGGAAGCCTGGCACTCAGCCAGATCATACTGGTTCATTCCTATTGGCCAGTGTGATTGGAGGGGGGAGGCTGCAGGCCAGCGGACCTCAGAGGCGGAGTTTTCACTCTGGTCCAATGACACACCTTAAAAGCAGGAATTGAGGCTGCGAACACCTCAGTTCGAACAAGCATATTGTAATAAAGGCGTGTTATTTGTAGAACCGTGCTAGCTGTAAGCCAACAACTGTTCTTTCAGGAAAGGACTACTGAATGCCATGCCATATTAGAGAAAATTTCTACATGGAGACAAAAGGAAAAGTCTATTGTACTGTGGCTGTTCCCATCTATCCATCAACTGGACACCTGGGTAGAACTCTCTGTAAACCAGGATTACCGTATATGCCGGTGTACAAGATGACTTTTTTGGGCCCAAAAAACATGCCTCCAAGTGGGGCGGGTTCATCTTGTACGCTGGGTGCACTTCATTTGAGCCAGGAAGGAGCCACCGCCGTTAAGTGAGTGATGCGCTGGCCGGGGAGGAAGGCAGGCGGGCAGGCAGGCAGGCAGTTGGTCTGGATGGAGGGAGGGAAGCACAGCCTGCCATGCCGGAGCGGCCAGAGCCCGCCACCGGGCTGCCTGCCGCCCCGTGCTGCTGAGCCAGCGTGCTCACTTGCCCGCCACCCCCGCTTCCCCTCTTCTTCCTCCTCCTTCTCCTGCCTCCACCCGCCCAGGCTCTTCCTGTTGGGGGGGGGGTTTGTCTTATTCGGCCGGTTGCCTTGTACGCTGGCAAATACGGTACGTCCATTTTTGACAAGAATCCGATGAAGTAGTAATTCAGTAGCTGCACTTGTGTATGTATGTTGAATATAGAAAAATACTTGACACTGAAAGGTCACTCTGTAAATATGTTAAACATTTCTTCCATTGTGAAATAGCAGGGTGCCTCCCCCTTCTGTGGAAATAATTGATTTAAGAGCCTTCAGAATTCTTCAGTGTAGAGATGAGATTGTCTTCCCCATACACTTACTGTATTTTTATGTGTATAAGACAACCTGATGTATAAGATGACCCCTACTTTTCTAACCCCAAATTAGAAAATTTGATTGCTGCTTCCCCTCCCCCCCAATTCCTAAGCCCCACGGGGCATAGCAAAAGGAGGGGGTAAGCAGGGATCAAAGGGCTGCAGGATCACTTTGATTGTTGCTTCCTCCCCACTTCCTAAGCCCCATGGGGCACAGCAAAATAAGGGGGAAAGCAGGGATCAAAGGGCTGCAGGATCACTTTCGATTGCTGCTTTCTCTTTCACTTCCTAAACCCCATGGGGCTTAGCAAAAGGAGGAGGAAGGGAGGGATCAACGGGCTGCAGGATCGCTTTGATCGCTGCTTTCCCCTCCACTTGCTAAGCTAAGGGCTGCAGGAACAAAGCGATCCTGCAGTTCTTTGATCCCTGCTTTCCCCCTCCTTTTGCTAAGCCCCGTGGGGCTTAGGAAGTGGCAGGGAAAGCATTGATCAAAGCAAGCCTGTAGTCCTTTGATCCCTGCTTTCCCTCTCCTTTTGCTAAACTCCACAAGGCTTAGCAAGTGGAGGGGGAAAGCAGGGATCAAAGTGTGGCAGGATCGCTTTGACCCTTCCCCCCTCCACTTGTTTTCGTTCTCTCCTCAGCTTGCTTATAAGATGATTCTCAATTTTTAGTTTAAAGGTTTTAGACAAAAGTATCATCTTATACATGGAAAAATATGGTAAATTAATTCTGCAAATTTAAACATGTAAGACTTGAATGCTGAGTTCCTTTTTCTATGTATTCTGATATTTATGATACCAAGAACATTTCAGTGAAACAGGAGAAGATTACGGGATTTATTGATTTATACTTTGTCATTAATGTGCATGGCACCTTAAAGATTTAGTGAGGTCCCTATTCCTGAGAGTTTACAATGGAAAGACAAGGCTATGGGATGTAAGAGGGATGTTAATGTTACATGTGCCTGAAGTTTGATGAAAATCCATAGGCTTTGTGGATTTAGAGGCAGGATAACTCCTCTGAGTTTTAAAAGCTATGGGTTAATAATAGTAAAGAGATGCATGTTTGAACGGACCCTTTGACTGTCACCTTCCATCAAGTAAGTCCAAAGGTTTATGTGCACATTTATGAATGAGTTCCAACATGGCTAGTGCTGATCTGCAAAATGTTATTTTCTTCTCTTTTATTTTCAGACACTAGTGAAGCTTTTCTCAGGTCGCAAACCAATGCTGTATAGTTTCCAGACATCTCTGCCACGTCTTCCTCTTCCAGCTGTCAGGGATACTGTAAATAGGGTGGGTTACCTATTTTGAAACTTTCTGCACTAAACTTAAATTCAGGTGAAATGCCAGACTTGATTTGATTTGTTCCAAAAACATGCATCTGTAAAAATTTAACATGTTATTTGATTTTTCTCAGTTCTAGATTAAGGTATATCTCATCCACTTACAATGAAATCAGGATCAGTCGAAGTGGCACACCCTTGTTTTATCTTGTATCTCTACAGGCAGGATATTCAGAGTCTTTAAATTGCCATGGTTTTATCTGAGTCTGCATTGTCCTCAATCTCTAAGTGGTTTGGAGCCTTGAGATTTCCCCCCACTGCACTTTGTTCTTAGAACATTATTTCAAACACTAATGAATGGCAGGGAGTGACTATATGTTTGGAGAAAGAGGTTTATTATCTCAGATAGGAGACCATAATAGCAAGTGTTCATAAAAACCAGGATTTTTTCCCCCTCATGGAAAATAAAAGGAAGGCAGCAGATAGCACATAATTTCAAAGTCCTACGAAATCTTGTAATGCTGTTAATATGTAAGTTTTGACATATAAAAGAATGGACACTACCTTGATCTTATCAGTGCAGCTCAGAGAATATCTGTAGAAAGAAGGTTGTAGTACATCCTTCAGTCTCGAAAGACTATGGTAGCGTGCTCTGTATGGAGGACTTGGAACAGCGTCTAGTGTGGCTGAGGAGGCCAATTCGAGAGTTACAATCTCTTCCACACTGAAGACAAATCCAATCTGTCCCCTGTCCAGCTCCCTGGTTTTGCTTCTTTTGTGACTTCCTCTTTGCCTCGGCCTGCTGGACAAGGGTCTCTTCAAATTGGGAGAGGCCGTGATGTACTGCCTGCCTCCAGGCTGAACGATCAGATGTCAGAGTTTCCCATCTGTTGAGGTCTATTCCTAAGGCCTTCAGATCCCGCTTGCAGATATCCTTATATCGCAGCTGTGGTCTCCCTCTGGGGCGATTTCCCTGCACTAATTCTCCATATAGGAGATCCTTTGGAATCCAACCATCGGCCATTCTCACAACGTGCCCAAGCCAGCGTAGACGTCGCTGTTTCAATAATGTATGCATGCTGAAAATTCCAGCTCGTTCTAGGACTACTCTATTTGGAACTCTGTCCTGCCAGGTGATACCAAAAATCCGTCGTAGGCAACGCATATGGAAGGTGTTCAGCTTCCTCTCCTGCCGGGCACAAAGGGTCCAGGACTCGCTGCAGTACAGGAGTGTGCTCAGGACACAGGCTCTATAGACCTGGATCTTGGTATCTGTTGTCAGTTTCTTATTGAGCCATACTCTCTTTGTGAGTCTAGAGAACATGGTGGCTGCTTTCCCAATGCGTTTATCCAGCTCGACATCTAGAGAGAGGGTGTCAGAGATGGTTGAGCCAAGGTACACAAAGTCATGAACAACCTCCAATTCTTGTGTGGAGATGGTAATAGAGGGAGGTGAGTCCACACCCTGGCCCATGACTTGTGTTTTCTTCAGGCTGATTGTTAGTCCAAAGTCTTGGCAGGCCTTGCTGAAACGATTCATGAGTTGTTGGAGGTCTTCAGCAGAGTGGGCAACAATGGCTGCATCGTCTGCAAAGAGGAAGTCCCTCATGCATTTCAGCTGGACTTTGGTCTTTGCTCTCAATCTAGAGAGATTAAAGAGCTTTCCATCTGATCTAGTCCGGAGATAGACACCTTCTGTTGCAGTTCCAAAGGCATGCTTCAGCATGACAGCAAAAAAGATCCCAAAAAGTGTTGGTGCGAGGACACAGCCCTGTTTCACTCCGCTTCGGATGTCAAAGGGATCTGATGTTGAGCCGTCAAAAACTACAGTGCCTTTCATTCCATCGTGGAAGGACCTGATGATGTTAAGGAGACGAGGTGGACATCCAATCTTGGGAAGTATTTTGAAAAGGCCATCCCTGCTAACCAAGTCAAATGCTTTTGTAAGGTCTATGAAGGCCACTAAGAGTGGCTGTTGTTGTTCCCTGCATTTCTCCTGCAACTGTCGGAGGGAGAATACCATGTCAGTGGTGGATCTATTTGCTCGAAATCCACACTGTGATTCCGGATAGACTCTGTCTGCAAGCACCTGGAGCCTCTTCAGCACAACACGGGCAAGCAGCTTCCCTACAACGCTAAGAAGAGAGATACCACGGTAGTTATTGCAGTCACCCCTGTCACCTTTGTTCTTGTACAACGTGACAATGTTTGCATCCTTCATGTCCTGTGGTACTCCACCTTCCCTCCAGCAGAGACAAAAGATTTCATACAGTTCGGTGATGATGATCTCCTTACCGCATTTCAGCACTTCAACAGGGATGTTGTCCCTTCCAGGTGCCTTGCCAGAGGTGAGGGAATCCAAGGCCGCATTTATTTCTGCTAGGGTTGGTTCGCTGTCCAGCTCTTCCAAGACAGGCAGGCACTCAATGTTATTTAATGCTTCTTCGGTTACTACATTCTTTCTGGAATATAGCTCGGAGTAGTGCTGCACCCAGCGTTCCATCTGCTGTGCTCGGTCCTGGATGATCACACCTGTAGTAGACTTCAAGGGAGCAGATTTCTTCTGTAATGGACCTAAGGCCTGCTTGATACCATCATACATTCCTTTGATGTTACCTGTGTCCGCTGCTATCTGTATCTGAGAGCAGAGCTGAAGCCAATAGTCATTGGAGCATCTCCTGGCAGCCTGTTGGACTTGGCTACGAGCGGCTCGAAGAGCTTGCAGGTTGTACTCGCTAGGACAGGCCTTGTATGCTGCTAGAGCTCTTCTCTTATCCTCAATGGCTGGCATTCCTCCGAATGGGCTTCGAACCAGTCAGCCATCTTTCTGGTCTTCTTGCCAAAGGTGGACAAGGCGGTGTTGTAGACAGTGTTCTTGAAGAAAGAAGGTTATTGCCTCTTTAAATATGGCTATTTGAAAAATGCAATATAATGTCTACATTATAAATTACAATCTAAATTGTAACTACTTAACAGTCTATATTTCTTTAAATACAAGCTTCTGCAAATATGAGAGAGGTGTCTTTTCCCCTTTGCAGTAGAATTGACCATTTTGTGTGAAATACATTATTGGAAAGAGATAAAGGCCTGGTTGTTTGGAGCATAGTTTAGCAAGCTGGAATGAGACTCTTTTCCACCTTGTTACTATTCTCTCTTATGCCATTGCCAATACTTTCATTCCCAGTCTGCTGTTGTCTTTCTGGAATATGATGTTGATCCTCCTTCAGTGCTTTGCTTCAGTGGTCTTTTTGTAGTCAAGTGGTCTGAGTGCTGCCACGAGGTCTTTTTTTCTGGTCTTGAATGTAAGAGGTTCAGACTGTAAGTTGTCCACCTTCCACTTGCAGAGTGCCTTTGACTGCCCAGCACTCCACACCACACTGGTGGCTTGCAGTACCAACAAGCTGTGCTCCTAGGGCCTTGCCTCTTTGTCATACCATGTAACAGCGGCTGTTGCTGCTGCTGTCTTGTGAAGTACTACTACTACGAATATAAATAGAGTGAGAATCAGGAAGAGGTGGTTTTTGTAGACTTCGCTGTATTGACGTCAGGTCTTCTCTCCTTATTGTTTCTAGTATTTGGAATCGGTCCATCCACTTATGAATGATGAACAGTTTAAAAGGATGGAATGTCTTGGCAAAGATTTTGCAATAAATCTGGGACCAAAGCTACAGTGGTATTTGAAGCTGAAATCCTGGTGGGCTACAAACTATGTAAGTACAGTAGTTGAGTCAAGTGCTTCCAAGGATTGTTACATTTTACATTTCTCTTAAATTTCTCTAAATAAAAAAAAGTTTATTTAGCAGATGCAAAAGATTTTCAGCGTGTTAGTATACTAGTTAATATACTGTACTAGTATTATATATTCTTATTAGAAATTTTTTCCCAAGTTAGCAACAGAAGCTGGTGATAAATAAGACCATATTTTCCTGCTACTGAATGGGAAAGTGTGATAGAAGTTTCCTTGTTCAGTGAGCCGCAGTAGAGATGGGGGTATTCATAACCCCCCACCCAGCTGGAGTTAATGAGGGTCTGGTCCCCTGGGGTCAGACCATCCCCTCACTCGTCCGCCACCGCTCTTCCTTCCAGTCACTCCGGTCTGCCCGGTCGGCTATCCACTCAGCAGCCTTGCAGGCAGACTTGTCTTCCCTCCTTCTGTCAAGAGTGGATAGCCGATGGGGTAGTCCAGAGCGATTGTAAGAAAGAGCGGGACCAGTGGCGGTGGCGGACGCATGAGTGGATGGTTTGGCTCCAGGGGGCCAGACCCTCACTAACTCCAACTGTGTGGGGGTATTTGTATATCAATACAAATACTGTACTCCCATCTCTAATCATCAGCAGTCGTCTAATATTCAGGGTTAAACATCCACTAAGACAGTATGCTTCCCACCTCTCTTTCTCAGAGAAATTGAGGAGGTGTCCTTGGATATTATTAGGCAAACATGCTAGCAGGGAATAGAGCAGAACCAAGTTATTTAAATTCATGTCCAGCCTGGAATCAGCAGACAAGAACTATAGGTTCCATGTTGTTTTCATTTTCAAATATGAGTATCTGACAAAAGTGAAACCACTTATGGGTTGGTGTCTCTGTTGATGTCTTGGTGAATTTCATAGATTAATAAATTTGATACTTTTTTTGTAGGTTAGTGATTGGTGGGAAGAATATATTTACCTTCGTAGTCGTGGACCTATTATGGTGAACAGTAATTACTTTGCAATGGTGAGCAAACGGGGCAGTTTCTGTCAGTGTTTCCATACCTCCCACAGACCTGCTTTCTCTATAAGCAAGGATGGGCAACTTGTTTGTTATGCTGGTTAAGGTTGATGGGAGTTTCAACCCAATAATGTCTTGAGGGCTTCTTGTACATCCTTCTTGTTTTGTTCTGCTGCAATTGATCTCTCATTTAGGTGCTAAGACTAGATGCAGTATCGGACAATTGTGACCATAATCTTCTATTCCCTTTAAAAAAAAATAGCAGTGGCTGCTTTTAAGTTCATAGAAATGATGCTGGGGGAGGTGATGTTTAAGTCCTTTGATCTTGCAGTGTTTCCACAGTTTTAATATCACTTCTCATCTCCTAGATGCTGTACAGGAAGTACCCAACAGCACACCACAACCTCTTCCTGTTCTCCCACAGTCTTACATAGCAATCATGCATAGCTGTGCTGGAGAACATGTTGATTGGAAACTATGTTTTATTTATTTTAAAAAAATATTAAATAAATAAACTCCCCAGTCTTCAGAACATTCAAAAATATTTTTTAAAAAATTAATTCTGAAGGATTTTGATCACAAGTCTCCAGGGCCACATCTTGTATTTCCCTGAGTTTATCATATAATTATCCTGAAGGGCAGAGTCAAACAGTGTTCCAGTTCTGTGCCATTATCTCTTTTGGAACTTTTTTGTCTCTCTTTGTGTATTGTTTTTTAATGGGAACACTTTGGGCATGCATAATAGCCTCAACAAAATACTCAAGAGCCCCTCAAGGATTCAGAAACAGGTGTGTCTGTTTCAGTTTACTATTTCTTTTCACCACATTTGTTATTAGATACATTAATGTTTTTTCATTAATGGGGAGGTAGATGTTTTCTGAGGGGATTTCAGGGAAAGCTACATTGGACTGTAGTCCCATACTCAGCTATGTATGCTCATTTCAATAGACGTCTATAGGTTTGAGCAGATTAGAAAGCCATCTGTTAGTAATTTTCTAGCCAAGTTGAAACAAGCTTAAATACTACTCATGTTGTCATATTGGGAATTATAGAAAATGAAAATGTACACATATAAAGCTTACAATCAACATGCAGAAATGGGATCCTGTATATCTGTTGCGGCTTTGATGGTGAGCAAACTGTGAGACTCTCCTAATGTCTGGTCCTATCTCTTCTCCTTCTCCTTTAGGACTTCATGTATTTTACTCCTACCTCTGTTCAGGCAGCTAGAGCTGGCAATGCCATCCATGCCATCTTGCTATATAGAAGAAAACTGGACAGACAACAAATCCAGCCGGTATGTCACTTTTCCTGAAATAGGGTGCTACTGTATGTAAGGCTGCCTGTTGTAAAAGACTTGGTAGGATTGAATACTGTCAAATGTGCACAAGACATGAAAATGCTTTTCACAGCCAACAAACCCAAAGAGAAGGTTGTTGAACTGCCTGGGGACTAATTGCTGAAAATAAAAACTGGCTTTAAGGCAGTTCTAATTCTGTTCTATGATACCAAAGAGCTATCGTCCTGTGCTCAGTGAACATTTTGAAAGCTTTGGGCATGGACTTGAGGTGATTTGGACGTGCTCAGTCAATGCTGTTTCTTGCTAGCCATACAGCCCATCCATATACTCTGTTTCAAACCATTGCTCTATTTGTGTCTCAGCTATGGAGGATTGTGAGGTATACACAGCAATAAAGAGTAAACAGCAGTATTGGCAGTTGAAACCTCCATACTACATTTTGGTAGGAAGCCACACCCTCAACTAAAGCAGAAGTGTTGCGGTATTTCTATGCAGAAATACCTCTTCTCATCCAAATATTGTTATTCTTCATCACATTCCTTTTTAAAACCCACAGTCTTTACCCGAAATTGTTAAGTTTCATTTGAGAATTGGAGGAATAAAAAACAGTTCTTACAACAGTCACTGAATGTAATTGAAACTATTTTAAAATTGACTTTGCATATCTGGGTGTTTCAAAACCAGGTAAAGGTCTGTGATTCTTAGATATATTTCTCTTAAATCCTAGAGGTGAAACTGCCCATGAAACTGCTCTGCCGTGACTCTTCCTGTTGTGCTGTGTTCCCTCTGCCCCTTCTGTAGAGCTCTTGGAACTTCTTAATTGCCAGGCTACGAAACATCCCCTGGCCTTCCAAAGCAGTTGGGGCTGGTGGTATTATATCTTTGGTGGGAAGGACAGTGTTGAATGAATAATCACCCCACCCTTTTCTTAATGCCAACATAATTCTAGTGAGCCTATGTCTGGAGGCAGGCCATAGCATTTATATTTGATTATTAATTTTTTGATTGGAATTTTGCACTATCCATTTATGGATTAAATGCTGATTATTCAAAAAAGCACAATTCTGGGTCATTAATAGAATTTGTAGTACTCTGCATGCCAGATAAGTTATTTTATGTGTTCACTATTTAGCCACTCTTCTGCCAATCTCTCAAACTGTTTGTTTTTTAAACTCATAAGGAAGTTTCATTTGGAAACAATATGGGAGGTTTTTTTCTGTAAAATTGCTGAGCAGGAGAATGGCTTAATGTAAGACTATTAATTAACTTTATTAATTAATTTCTATACCATCTGGCAACTCAGGCTACTTAGAGTGGATTACACAATACAGTAAAACAAAATATAAAGACAAAACAATACAGTAACAAGGCAATAATATAAGTAGTTAGTACAATACAAACAAATGAAAATGAATGGGATGATGTGCATGTATTTCAAAATGATGTCTTTAATGGTCCTTTCTCGTTACCTTTTGTGCCACTGAACCATGTCTTTCCTTATGGAGTGTACTGTGCGGAACTGTGGCATGGTTAGTGCTATGACATTTCAAATTAATATCCCTGAATGGACTGTCTTAATGTTAAGCAACCCTTTTTCTTTTACTTGATTTTTGTGTTTCGTTAATGGATATATTTTATTAGTCTTTTTAGGGGCAAGAAAAGTGGCGTTCTGTACTAATACCTTGCAAAATGTTGTTTGAAAGTGACCCCTGGTTGAGGAAATGGTGATATGCAAAGGATTAGAAAAATCTAAGTGGTAGCCCAGTTCTAGTTGATGCAATATTTTATGTTTGAGAAAAGAATGAAGAGAGAAGAAATTTGGAATGTGTTTGGCAGTTTAAATAGTATGAGGCATGCTATAGATTGTGCCATTGATAGACCAGAAAGAGGTTTAAGAAGAAAAAAATAGAAAGATATTTTGGATGCTGACATTCTGAAAGCTGGTTCACACCAGACAGTGTGTCTTACAAGGAAATTACATCGATATGCTAAAAGATGCAGAGGCACACTTTAATATGCATTAAAGACAGGTCATGAACTACATGGAACCTTCATTACTTTTGTGTCTTGGATATTACTTCTATGTGGGAAACCTTCCCTAGTGTGAAATAGCCCTTAGAATTGCAGATCTACTGACCATCACTCTGACTTTCACATGTATTTTTTCTCTTCACGTGCTAACATATATCTATAAAACACAATTATAACACACCTTTGCGGCATAGATTCTTCTGATGGGATCCACTGTTCCACTCTGTTCAGCTCAGTGGGAAAGAGTGTTTAATACCTCCCGTATTCCAGGAGAGGAAACAGGTAAGAAGAACCAGCTGAAGAAAAAGAACATCAGAAAAACCAAAAAGTGTGCAGTAGTGCCATGACTATATCATGCTAATAACAAGTGTTTATATTGACAATATAGATAGCCTGAGGAAAATGGACTGTACTGTACAGTTTAAATGAGTATTAAATTACTGAGGAAATCCGCAACCACATTTAAAATATTTCGGTACTTGAAAATGAACAACCTCAACTTGTGGTCTGATATGTCTTTACCTGTTTCTTTCCTTTTAAAAACAAGAACAACAACAAAGGGCTATTAGAAAATGATTTCCTACCAAATAGGGACTCTTGGTGTGTGTGTGTGTGTGTGATCATTATCACTTTTGATTCCATAGTTTTGGGTCCTCTTGGTTTCCATTCCTTCTTTATCCTAAATGGCGAATTCACACTTTTCACAGCTTCCTTGTTTGAAATCTTTGTGTGGGGTTGGTTTGTTTTTTTGACTCTCCTTTTTTCCTTTCAGCTTATGATTTACAATACCATCCCAATGTGTTCTGCTCAGTATGAACGTTTGTTCAACACTAGTCGTATACCGGGCACAGAGACAGGTATAGTGTTAGTCCTGTCAATATATTGGCCCTATTTGCATCCTGACCTTTTGTATACATAACAGAATATTTTAGCCTATAATGTTTGCACTACAAGGTCCAGTTCTTATGAAGTTATGAGCCATTTCACTGTGAACTAGCTACTAAGCGGAATGGTTCAAAATAATGAGTGATTTCCATTCATTATATCTTCTCAGAAATTCCTGTGCATGTTTTCCTGAAGAGGTGTTTGTTAAATGATTTAAGTGTGTTCATCTTTTTTCTCTACCAAATCTCTCCTGCCAAAGCTCCATTCAAAGTTATATATATAACACAGTAAAAATGAAAACATTAAAGGAGCTGAAAAGTAATGCAGTTCACAAATACACTTTGAAAAGAGTGGTTCTAGACAAATCGATAGAATATGAAATGTAGAAATTTTCAAGTACTGTATGAGTAGAAGCCATCCTAAAGAGTCAAGTTTGGGGTAACCAGCAGGACAAAAATAAGAAGGGGGGAAGGGAGGGAGGGAATGAGGTGTAAGTAAGCACCTGATGGAACCGCATTACAGAATCCAAGTACTATCTGCTGCCACCATGAATAGACACAGTTTGCTTAAACTGATTAAAATTTATTTATTTATTTATTTACAATATTTTTAGCCGCATCATTGCCAGTGGCTTCTGGGCGGTGTACAGCATTAAAACTTAAAAACATTAAATTGCACCGATCTAGTAATTTAAAAAAAAAAAAGAAAATAATGCTTTATGCAAAAAGGATTGGTTCTGCTCTCCTGTGTTGTGTGCTTCATGTAGTGGAGTAGATTTGGAGGAATAATATCACAATTGAATCATTTCAGACCCATTTGAATTGTTCACTTTTATGCTATCTAATCATTATTTCTTCTGTCTTGTGTTTGACTAAAATCTTGTAGATGAGCCATATTGCAATGGGGAAAGTGGTGTCCTGTGTCTTTTCTTTTCCACCCTTTGCTTACATGCACTTACAGGCTCAGCTTTATTTAACTCTGATTTCAGTGAGACAGACATGATGGAGCCAGCAAAGCTGTGGAATAGAGTTTTTCCATATTATGTTAAAAATAATAGTCTTACCCATAATTCCTCATCTTATGTTTCTGAGTAAAGAGGCGAACAGAGCCATACACCCGGGATGATAACCTCTTACAAAAAGCTAGAACCCCTTGCTTATTACTCCAGTGTGAAAAGATGGTAGAGTGTGCCCTGCTCTGTTTTTTGACTGTTAAAAAAAAGTCCAGTGCTGCTGCAGCCCAGGGCACTGATCTCCATATTGCTTTATTTAGGACAATATCTGTAGTTCTAGCAACTACAGAATGTGTTGCCGTGAATTGCCCACCTTTCATGTACTGGCTAGGACATCACATTGCTGGGTAAAGTGATAAGAATTTCAGCGTAAGAAGCAACAGCAGCAGAAGACAAAGACGCATCTGCTCTGGGAAGTTAAAACAGTTAAAAAACAGAAGAGGAATACACCCACCCATTCTGGAAAGCTTCCACATTAAGGCAAGCATTACAACAAGTAGCACCACAAACTATATTCAAACCAAAGATAACAATTACTTTTCCATGGTGCAGCCCCAAGTAAAATAATGAGTTATTTTTCAGAAGTAACATTCCAGCTCTGAGACCCAAAAATAGGTTGAATAGGTTCTCTGATTTCCTAGTGATAAGAAGAAAGTGACTCTGATTTGGGGGAGGATAACTTCTATTGAGTGTTCTGATGTCAGATCATTTAATGACAAAATGTCATGTGGAACTTCATTATTAAAACCAGACTGAAATGGATCATAATGCATCATTGAAGTGGACCTTACAAAAGATCATGTAGTACTTCATAACATTCATTAATCTGGAGTAAATTGTCAACATTTTGCCCATTTTATTTTTTCTTAATAAAAAGCCTTCATTTTTTGGATACTCTCTCAGTAATCAACAATCACTGATGATGTTCTAACTATATTTCATGTTTTGTTTCTATTCACTTTTATTCAGCATGTTATTCTTGTGTTGATGGGGAAATAATCAAAATTTAACACTACATCCAAATGTCAAATAGCAGTATTCTGTGGAAGTAGTGATTTTCCTGTCTAATATTTGACTTCAGTGTTACTTTTCTGCATCTTGGTGAAAGATCTGATATCTTCACCCTTCGCTTCTGTTGCAGGAATATGGTTGCATTTACCTTTCTTAACTGAACATGCAGGGTGGAATCCTGTTGCTGTTCATGTAAGGCTTGTGTTACTTGGTATGGCTAATTGCCACTAATTAACAAGGAGCCAGGGTGCATCTCAGTTGTGCAGTCAGGTAGGTAACCAAGCTCCAGCACCTCATCACCTTGTAATTTGTCATGGCAAATTGCACAGTCCTTACATGAACACCAATAGGACTTTGGCTGTGGAGTAGTAAGTGCTTGGGTATGAGTTGTTTCACCTCCAGTGATATTTGAACATAAATCATTCTCTGTGTCAAAAGTTATTACGACAGAGAAGATTATAAACTAGCTTTCTGTCGAAACTTGTAAAATTTTATTTGAGTACAGTTTTGACACAGAGCCATTTCCAAGTTACTCAAAGAAGGGAGTGACGAAATTCCTTAAGAGGACTGTGTCACCTCTCAGTCAGTGAGTGCTTGAATCGTTCCCATAACAGTTAAAAATGAGTAACCCGGGAATATTGAAAAGAACTATATACATGTACTTTTGAACCACAGTTGCCATGTAGTCCGGGCAAGGGGAAGCTCCTCATCCTGCCTCTGCAGGAGGAAGAACTTCCTCTCCTTAGGCCATTGGACACCACTGTTCTGGACTATTTGTTCACATGAGAGTCTCTGCAAGCGGGTCTACACTTTCTGAGTGCTGCTTGGCCAGTTGGCAGCACTGGGCGCACTCAGCGATTGAGATTCCAAGAATTTAGTGGAACGGTTAAGGTATGCAAAATAAAGTTTCATATATGTGCGTATGCATGTAAGAGATTTTTTTAAAAAACCAAAGAACAAATGGGCAACATGTTTTTAAAATTAATATATTTAATATGATGATCAAACATACAAGTGGTGCCCTGCATAGCGACGATAATCCATGCAGCCAAAATTGTGGCTATACGGATTCGTCGCTATGTAAATAAAAAAGCCCATAGGAATGCATTAAAACCCATTTAATCCGTTCCTATGGGCGAAAAAATTACCTTTATGCAAAAATCCTCCATACGGCTGCCATTTTCGCTGCCCGGTAAGCGAGAAATGGGCGTGAAAACACAGCGAGCGGCCATTTTGGAACTGCCGATCAGCTGTTGGGAAAACATCATTATGTGAAAATCGGTAAGTGAAACAGTTTACCGATCATCGCAAAACGATATTTTCCCATTAGAAACATTGTTATGCGATCGCAAAAATGATCGCAAAAAAATCGTTGCTATGCAGATTCGTCGTAAAATGAGGCGCCCGTTATGCGAGGCACCAGTGTATTCTAGTTGCCTGTCTGTAAATTAGTTAATATTTTAGCAAATGGTTTAACAAGGGATATTGTTTGGAGCTGAGCTTTTTTGGGGGGGGGCGTTAAAAGTTGTACATTATGGAAATTCTGGCTCATTTCCGAACTTTGGGTTGCAATTCTAGACACTATCCAGCATATAAAAGACAGCAAACACATTGTTGTGTACCATAAAGGATGCTATTACAAAATATGGCTGTACTATGATGGCAGACTGCTGAGACCTCGGGAGATCGAACATCAGATGCAGTGGATTCTAGATGACAAATCTAAGCCCCAGCCTGGTGAAGAAAAGTTGGCTGCCCTTACTGCAGGAGACAGGTATGAAAATGCCAAAGCTGTTGGAAAATTAATTTGGATCTCCTTTCACTTTTAAACATTTTTTACTGGTACATTTTCCTAATTTTTTTGTATATCCTTGTAAATGTTAGACGAAATATTCTGTATAGCCCGTCCGGCGTAACGTTTAAGTTTCGATCGCTTTCAGTTGATTGCAAGATGCACTGGGCCATATGTGTACAGCTCTTTCTCATCTTTGCACTGTGTAGGTTTTCTATTCAAAGTGTACCCTGTTTCCCCTAAAATAAGACCTAACCTGAAAATAAGCCCTAGCATGATTTTCCAGATGCTCGTAATACAAGCCCTACCCCCCAAATAAACCTCAGTTAAGTGAAACCGCACCCTCTACCATTGTGCAGCAACCAGAAGAAGATGACACAGCTGTATTTGAATAAATGTAGATTGTTGTACATAAAAAATATAAGACATCCCCTGAAAATAAGCCCTACTGTGTTTTTTGAAGCAAAAAAATAATATAAGACCCTGTCTTATTTTCAGGGAAACAGGTTAATATATCAGCACTACTTTGATAGGGTTCTCATTAGGTATAGCCTACAGATATGTTTTAATAGATAAAATAAGGCTGTGAAAATTGGATGTAGAGTTAGGTGGGTATACTCAGTGGACATTCTGAGGTAGACCCGAGAGGACAGGAATGCAGTAAAAGTTTAGAGGCATACGCCCGTTATTATTCTCTCAGGGGCTTCTTTTAGATCTTTCCATTGAGTAAGGCCACATTAGTCTTTTTTCTCCAATGGAAAGTGTTGCAGCCCCTTGAGTCATGGATTTTATTTAGTATAAACATTCATGGACTGCAAGTGATTATATCTCACTGTCTCATGGACGTTGGTAGTAAGATTTTGGATAAGTTCTTAAAAACGTTCAAACATACATCACATGTCAAACACAATGAGCTGTATCCATGCATCTCTGTGAAAATGGGAGTGCTCCTTCCAGTCACAGAGAGCTCCAGGATGTTCCCTTGGTGCCACCTTTCATAGTGTAGGTTTTTTGGTGGGATGTGTGTGTCCCTCAGTGCTTTTAGCCTTTTAGGAAGTTGCAGTGGGAGGAAGAACCTGAAAAAATAGCCACTCTACCCCTTTACTCAGATGTTAGCAGAACTCTGCTGAGTAAAAATCTGTACCCAATTTGATGTGTGTCTAAACGTACAGAAATGGGACCTTCAAAATTGCAAAATAAGCAAGCAAGGAAATAAATAAATAAACAAACAAACAAATAAATAAATAAAGTGCACAGAAACATTAACTTGTGCATTTAGTCCTTTGTAACTCGGAACAACTATGTGAGCAAACCTCTCTTTTGTAAAGGAACTGTGTCCATATTTCTTGCTAGGAAAAGAAGAAAATATGTGTTTATTAGAGAAATACACTTGAGAGAGGAAATGTGATAGAAATCAGTACTGGATAAGAGAGTTGGAGATGTCTGTTGCTGTGGATGCCCTTGGAGAACAAAAGCAAGATGCCTCCTCCTCAGAGAGACAGGAAGAGGGCATGAGAGGGAAGAATGTGTGACTTTAGTGCCATAAGAATCTCAAGGCTGAAGACAACACAAGTCAGATCAGGAAAAGGACAGACTAGGAAACCTGAGCAGGTCATTCTCTGTCTTCCTCCTCCTCCTCCTAGACAAAGGCAAGCATCTTTCTGGGAGTAAGCTGAGTTGTACTCAGTCACTTCTAACATAGATGGCATTCTGTGCACAGTTAAAGAAATAGGGAGTGATGGCCCTTAAAACTAAAACCTGCTGTTCTTGTTGCAGGAACAGGTTCCAAAGATAAAGAAAATCTGAAATTACCAAAACTGGCACTATACAGTGATTATTTTATGCCAGGGTAGGTAGCCTTTTGTCAGGCGCTACATTGCAGGCAGTGGGCAGGGCCAAAGCTTCCCTACTCTTTTCCTTTCACAAATGCATCCATTTGTTTGGATATTTTCACTTTCATACTGCATCCATCCACACATCTTTACAGTGCATTAATTAATTCACCTCTTATTGTATCCTGCTTGAGCTTTTCCTCTCACATGTACTACATTCATTAATCCTATTGTTCATCCAGCCATTCCTCCATCTATCAGTTCCCCTTTCCATCTACGTGTCCATCTAGCTTTTTTCTCTGGAATCTTTCTCTGCCTCCCAGTATTCAGTTATAGGAAAGCAAGGATTGTTTCTCATATAACATAATAATTCCATTAAGTCATTTGCAATTTATGGCAAGCATTTCCAGGGATTTCTAGGTATAAAATACTCAGCAGTGATTTACTGCTTCCCTTCTTCTGGGGGCCCTCAGGGACTGTGCAGCCTGCCTGTGACTGCACAGACTGGCTCTACTCTCAGGAAGCACAGCGGAGGACTCAATGTCTAGTCTCTGGCTCTGTAGGCAGGTACCTAACTCACTTAGCTATAACATGCTGTGTTTTCCTGAAAATAAGACAGAGTCTTATATTAATTTTTGCTCCAAAAAACACAGTAGGGCTTATTTTCAGGGGATGGTTTTTTTTCCATGTACAACAATCTACATTTATTCAGGTACAGTCATGTTATCATCTTCTGGTTGCTGCACAATGGTAGAGGGCAGGGTTTCGCTTAACTGGGGCTTATTTTCGGAGTAGGACTTATATTACAAGCATCCTGAAAACTCATGCTAGGGCTTATTTTCAGGTTAGGTCTTATTTTCAGGGAAACGGTAGGAAAACAAATAATATGACATAAAAGAAGGAACAGGGCAGAACGCCATTTCCTGCAGTTTCAGCAGATAATTTAACAATTAATAGCAGTCATCTGAGCATGGTGCACCAGGTTGTGATAAATGGCTTCAGTCATGAGTGGGGGACATTGCTGGGAAGATCAGTCAGGACAGGATTTAAGCCATAGGTTGGTAATACATATTTTAAATCAATTCATGAGGAGAGGAATTGGCAAGTAGGGCATTGTGAGGGCCATGGAGAAGTCCCCTGAGGGCAGTACAGTGGTGCCTCGACTTACAAAAATTTCGAGTTATGGAAAGCTCCGGCTGCAAAATTTTGGTTCGACTTGTGGCCGGAGCGTCCACTTACGAAAGGAAAAAGGCAGAGGGGAAGGGCGGGAAATTTAAATTTACTATCTGTGGGTGGCGAAGAGGCTGTTTCTTTGCCCCAACGGTTAGGGAAATGGAGGCTCAGCCTCCCGGGCTTCCCCGCCTCTCCGACCGCGGAAGCAGTGGTGACCCAGCACCGGGAGGCTTGAGCTGGCCGGGGTGCTTCGGCCGCTTGCCTCCCGGCTCACCTCCGTAGAGCAAGCGGGAGGCGAGATGGGAGGCAAGCGGCCGAAGAAACCCAGCCAGCTCAAGCCTCCCAGCACTGGGTGACTGCTGCCTCCGCTGGGGGCGAGCGGCCAAAGAAACCCGGGGAGCTCATTATGAAGCACCCCAGCCAGGCTCACCTCCCAGTGGTGGCGGTCACAGCAGCAGTGGAAACCCGGGAGACTTCGGACAGTTAAGGTGCTCTTTTTTTAAAAAAAGTTGTTCTGGGTGGGTTTTGGAGGGTAGGTTTGGGCTGGGGGGGTTATGTTTCTGTGATTGATTGATTGATTGATTGATTGCAGTCCTCGCGTGGGACTTGCTCCAATGTTTATTTTTGGATTTATTTTATTTTATTTTATTTATTTATTTTCAGAGGTCCAAGGGTGTGACCTGCTCTTTTTATTTTTATTTTTTGGTATTTTTTTCTTTGGCCAGAACAGAGTAATCGGTTTTCAATACATTCCTATGGGAAATGGTGCTTCGACTTATGAAAAGTTCGACCTACGACCACCGTTCCAAGATGGATTAATTCCGCAAGTCGAGGCACCACTGCAATAGAATCCAAGGCTGCTCACATGTGCTTCATAATGAGGCATAAAGAGGAGGATTCAAGGATCAAGTGGAACACTGGCACGCTGTAAAGGAGCCCTTGAGGGCCATGTGCAGCCCCTGCCCTGTGCATATAATCCAGTCACTATTTGTCTCTGTACACTTGGGAGAGGTTTTGTGTATGCCTCCCCTTTGAGACTTCATTGACTAGATGCTGTATTTTTCATAGTCATAATCTGAGGATTTCTAGCAGTGTATTAATTTCATTAAGCACTCCTTTAATTCAGATTTGAATCGGGATGACTTGGAGGCTAGTGATACTCCTTAATTGTACGTACTGTCTCTTTGTTCTTGTGGCAGAGTTCCATGGGCTAAAGCTCGCCAGGCATATTTTGCACGTGGAAAAAACAAGCAGTCTTTGGATGCTGTTGAAAAAGCAGCTTTCTTTGTGACTTTGGATGACACAACTCAAGGTTACAGGGAAGAAGATCCAGTGACATCAATGGACACTTATGCAAAGGCACTTCTGCATGGGAAATGCTATGACAGGTACATTGCATAGTGTTACAGGTGTTCTTTCACTTTCTGGCAGAGAATTAAGATGGCTATGAACATGTATGATAAGAAACTTATCAACTCTATGGCAACTTTTTATTTTTTGCAGGTGGTTTGACAAGTCGTTCACTCTAGTAGTATTCAGGAATGGCAAAATGGGCCTGAATGCTGAACATTCATGGGCAGATGCTCCTATTGTTGGACATCTTTGGGAGGTGAGTGTTTGTATGTATTAAGCATAGACAGACTGGATTTTTAAGGAGATTTGGGGAGATGAATCTGAATGTTTCCCTCTTTTACTTTTTCTCCGGACATTTATTTTAACTTTTGTGTGCCAAACGAATCACAGTTCTAAGAGCAGGAAATAATTTTCATGGCACTGCTAATAATAAAAATTACTTGAAGTGTCAAAAATAATTCCTTGATACTAGCTTTGCTGTTTCTACTGTAACATATTGCCTGTTGTCTACATAATGACATTTTATTTATTTATTTATTTATTTTATTTATTTAATTTATATGCCGCCCACTCTACCCAAAGGTCTCTGGGCGGCTTACAACAATTAAAATTCAATGCAATAAAATAAAATAATTAAAATACAATTAAAATATGATTAAAATACAATTAAAATTGCCATCATTAAGACCCACAGTTAATGTTATTTCAATTAAAAGCCTTCTGGAACAGGAAGGTTTTGACCTGGCGCCGAAATATCATTGCAGTATCTTAGCTATACTATTGTAGTAAAATCAGAAGTCCTCTAAGGGACCAGTTGAACAGGTACTGTATTTGTCCTGCTGTTTGTGCTTCCTTCCTCACTGTTCTTTGGATGAATATACCAACAACTACGCAACGTTACAAGTAGATTCAATCTTTTGACATGGCTGTGCAGTACTTTTTTTTCAGCCAGTAGACATTGTTGGTGCTGTTTTTTTAAAAAAATGTCAAGATGCCATCATTGATGATTTAGAGAGTGAGGCATGGTGGTGGTGGTGAACTCTACTCATTTTGCCTGCCTTCTACTTGTACTGGTAAGGACTAGAACTCCAAAGCAGTTTGTGAAGTGTAATTTTTAAAAGTATTTTTCTCCTGGTTTTATGTTGTAGGATCAAAAGTACAGCGTTGATTAAAATGCTTAATGTATCTTGTCAAGCAGTGCTATTTTGCTGGCTGAACAGTTTTTTAAAGGAAGGAATTTGCCTAGCTATGGGCTAAAAGGGCCTGACTTTTGTATTTCTTGTAATAAATTATTTGTATATATAATATGCATGTATATATTGTAAATTGGCAGCCATAACTGTGGCCCTTGCTTGCCCTGTGTTAATGGACGAGTTTTAGTTTCTGCAGCATGATGGTGTGATCAGGACCCTTGGGGAGTCGAGGGCTACTACATACTTTGCCCTTCCTGGCCCATACAAGCTGCCAGAAAGGGATTGGTTGATTGGGTAAGAGGAGTGAGGAACACCTCCTTGCAAGAGGGTAGGATCCCATCATGCTCAAAGGAGGAAATAGTAAGAACATTGTTTAAAAAGCCCTCTTTGGACCCCACAATACTGAACAATTACCGACCAGTCTCTAATATCCCATTCTTGGGGAAGGTGCTAGAGTGTGCTCATGGTCTCTCAACTCCAGAGGTTTGTGGATGAGACAGATTATCCAGATCCATTTCAGTCTGGCTTCAGGCCTGGCTATGGGACAAAGACAGCTTTGGTTACCTTGGTAGATGACCTGTGCTGAGAACTGGAAAAGAATCTGTGTCCCTGCTGGTTTTGCTGGACATCTCAGCAGCTTTTGATACTATCAACCATAGTATCCTCCTGACCCAACTCTTTGGAATGGGACTTGGAGAAACTGTTTTATGATGGCTCCTGTCCTTCCTGGAGGAGAGAACTCAAAAGGTGGTGCTGGGAGATGCATGTTTGACACCTTGATCCGCTGACCTGTGGGATCCCTCAGGGTTCTGTTTTGTCCCCTATGTTATTTAACTTCTACATGAAACCACTGGGAGAGATTATCTGGAGTTTTGGGGTTTGGTGTCACCAACATGCAGAAGACACCCAACTCTACCTCTCCTTGCCACCTAAATCCAAGGAAGCTGCTTTGGCTCTAGATCAGTGTTTAGTATTAGTAATGGACTGGATGAGGGAGAATAAATTGAAACTGAGTCCAGACAAGGCAGAGGTGTTTCTGGTCAGTTGAAAGGCAGATCAAAGAATAGGGATGCAACCTGTACTGGATGGGATTACACTCCCATTGAAAAAACAAGTGTGCAGCTTGGAGGTGCTCCTGGATTCAGCCCTTAGCCTGGATGCCCAGATCTCAGTGGTGACCAGGAGTTCATTTGCACAATTAAAACTAGTGCACCAGCTACATCCGTTTCTTGAGAGATATGATCTGGCCACTGTGACACACATTCTAGTCACTTCCAGGCTGGATTTCTGTAATGCACTCTATGTGGTGCTGCTAAAGGAATGTGTCAGGAAACTTCAGCAGGTCCAAAATGCAGCAGACAGATTGTTGACTGGGGCTGGTTATAGAGATCACATAACCCCACTGTTACAGCAGCTCCACTGGCTGCCAATCAGGTTCCGGGCACAATTCACAGTGCTGGTTTTAACCTATAAAGCTGTAAATGGCCTGGGTCAAAGCTATCTCAAAGAGATTATGAGCTGGCTTGGGTGTTAATCAGGAGAGGCTTTTCTTTCACTCCCGCCACCTTCACAGGTGCATCTGATGGGGACACAGGAAGGTGCCTTCTCTGTTGTTGCTTCCAGACTTTAGAGCTCCCTCCCTCAGGAGGTCAGACTGGCCCCATCTTTGCTGCCCTTCCGCAGGCAGGCAAAGACCTTTCTCTTCAACCACGCCTTTCCTCAGAAACTAGCTACCTGCTGTGTGATTATTTTACAGTGGTGCCTCGCTTAACGAGTGCCTCGTTTAGCGATGAATT